TCTTCTCTAATAAAAACTTTAAAAAACAGCATTTTTCTCCAGTGAAAATTGGAATTAATCACTGTTTGATTCAATTGATAACCGCTATATTGTTACTGGCAGTTTAGGTTGTAATATTGTAGTACTGTAGTACTGATCGTAGTACCATGTGACAAGTTGTTTTTTTTTTTTGTAGCTTAATTTTCAGCTTTTAAAGGAAGTAATCTTCCGTTACTGCATAATATCGTTTGCTTTCTTTCTGTGTTTCAGGTACACCAAGCTATTTGTCTGAGTCGCCGTATTCATGGCGTACAATTCTAATATTTTGGATACCTGACGGTCTTTGGTTGGTATTTCCGCTGGCTGTTATGATCTGTCTTTGGCCAAAGATTGTCAATTTGGCCTATTATGTCGAATGTCCAGCACGTGATGTGATATAAACGTACTATATTATGAAATTTTGAAAAAAAAAAAGTAAAATACAAAAATTGTGCAATTCTGGATAATTTACAACAAAAAAAGAATTTCTGTTACAAAAAATATACTATTAATAACAACTGTATCAATATTAACAGCAACAGCAGTAACAACAACAGCAGCTGTAAGAACAGAAGCAGCAACAACATCAGGAAACTGGAAACTAACAAAAAAAAGAGCTTACAACAAATTATTTGTGTGATTCTTATTCTGTCCTTTCCCTTTTTCCTTATTTTGCTGTTCATGGACTCGATTGTAACTGTTTATTTAGTTGCTGAAATTATTTTGTCTATAATAATTTCGATATCAAATTTTCTTGTAATCTGGGTATATTTTCGCACCGAACGTATACGTACCATCACTAATACATATATTTTTTCGTTGGCTGTTACCGATTTCTTAGCTGGTACACTAGGAATACCGGTAACAGTATATTCGGTAGCAACACGTTCACCACATTCCTATCTTTCTTGTTTAGGTATTCATTTAATTCTCTGTATTCTGTGTACCATATCAACATTTCATATGCTTGCAATGGCTTTCGATAAATTTGTCAGTATTTGTTGTAAAGGACAACTATTTTCACGTGTAAGTAGGCAAAAATTGGCGATAACACTGATTGCACTTGCATGGATTTTAGGTACATCAGTTGCAGTTGTACCGGTATTCTCAATTACAGATTTTCGCCAGAAATATCAAAATTTTCCTGGTGAATGCCATTTTACTGGTGTTGTTGATTATCGCTATTTAGTATATGTAATATTTTGTTCAACAATCATTTTACCATCAATAATTATACTGTTTTGTTATACCAGTATATTACGGCGTATCCGACTGGAAGAACGTCAGGTGAAATTTTTACTTGAACAAAAAGAACGTAATCGACGGATGCGACGACGGCATAAATTGATTCGCTTACTTATTGCAGTTGTATTAGCCTATGGTATTTGCTGGTATCCGTTGTACATAATAAATACATTTGTCTTTATATTACCAGAATATAAGGACCATACCAGTACAATAACGTTATGTGCTGTTGTCTTGTCACATATTTCATGCGCTATTAATCCAATTATCTATGCATATGGTATGCCGGGTTTCAAGCAAGGCTTAGTTAAGCTGTTTGAAATGAAATTTTCCATTAAAAGTTGCGCCAGTTCTTGTTATGTTAAATCTGAGTCTAAAGCTGTTGTTGAATCTAATGATATAGCTGTCAGAAACAAAAGGAATTCGATAATGCATAGTCGTTCACAGTTAACCAATGTTTTATTTATACAATCATTTGATACGAGCAGTAATTTGCTTATTTGAACAAAAGGAACAGTACATACATATATGATATTACTGATAACTGCCATCACTATTACTGCTGCTACTACTATTACTATTATGACCAATAATAATATTACTATTAATGTTAATAATAATGATAATAATAGTAATGGTAATAAAATATTGGAATTGATTATGATGATGTTGATGATGATACCGAAGCAAACAACGATGGGCTGCATAAAAATTGGTAATTTTTTTTTTTTGATATATAATTTACACCTTTTAACACTTTTTTTTTTTGATAGTTTGAATTTCAAAGGTCATTTGAGTTTACTATTAGCGGTGAACAATTTGATAAACTTTATAAGTATAAAAGAAAAAAAAAAAGAGTGAAAAAATTTTTGCAATTGCAAAACTGTTTCTGCACTGATAGACTGTCTGTGTTGCAGCAAAATTATACTCAATTGCCAAAAAAATTTTTTTTGCCTTTTCTTCATCTTTCTGCAAAAGAAAAAAAAAATTTGAAGAAAAAAACCTAAATAAAAATGCTAAAAAAATTAAAAACAATTGTGATTTGCAAATTTTTTCAATAAAAAACAAAATAAGCGCTTAAAATTTGGTCAGCAAAAAAAAAAAAAAGCTTAACAGTTAACGTCTCTTAAACTCAGCTAAATGCCTACAATCGTTTACGAAACGGGACGTTTGGTTATAGAATTTTTTTTTTT